ATAAAGCAGCATCTCCAGGCTGAGATAAAATAGAACAGGAAGATGAGTGCAAAAGAGTAATCTCTCTGACATATTCCTAATAATGCTGCTCCCTCCAGCTCACCCGATCATAAAGTGTCAACACTGACCTACAAAAAGCAACTCCCGTCAAGCCTTGCATGTTTCAAAACATCAATCACAGCAGACAAAGAGGGTACATTGAATTATACAGCATTAACCTTCAGGCTCTGCGTAGAAAGACTATGGATTTATTTGTGCTGGTGTGTAAAGAGCCCTTTGCCTTTTTTCTTACAGAAACCAGGCTGCTCAGCAAGAGACCGGCATCTCTGATTAATGAGAGCAACCTTGTGGGAGAGGGAAGAACGGAGAAGACAGGGTTAGCTTTAACATCGGGCTTATGATGCTTTGTGATGAAAAAACAGGAGATCGGAAATTTGTTTATTTCTAATGACAACAAAGACAAGTAATTGAAATTGCGCCCACATTTTCTAAGTTAACACACATCTCTTTTAACAATGGTAGTTTTTGCACCTTTACTGTTCCCCTGCTTCAGCCCTCCCCCCTCCCCCTGCGCAGCGGCCGCAAACTCACTGATGCGCCTACAGCCTCTCAGAGTTCCTGCTGATCCAAACATTGAAAGAATCATTTCATTTTCTGTTCCTCACTTCTGATTACCTTCAATGGTGTCTGTTTGTTGCAACCAGGTACTAAAACTAACTTGTTTATTATTTGACTATTTTTCTGTCTTGTTTGTCTGTTTATTACCTTCCTGCATCTCCTCTCATCCTAAAGAAAAACTGCTAACTGGCTTTATGTATTTTCATCTCATGAGTTACCTTTGAACAGCAGCTCAAAAAGATCTACAGACAGCAAATATAGCGGAGTGCCCACAGACCGCTCCGGTGCAGTGAAGTCACCGGAGGACAAAACAGGTGATGTGTTCCGCTCCGCAGCAGCAAAATGCATCAGGCACAAATAAAAGACAGAAAGCATAAAAGGATATGAGCCGACATGAACAATCGCGTGTTAAATTTGTTTTTGAGGTAACAACACTTTGATAATGTTACTGTGGCCGTTCTCAGGACGCATCTGTCTGGAGCGCGTCAACGATCAGAGCTCTGTGCCGCTCAGGTCAAAATAATCCCCAGAGAGTCCTCATAGATAATGTAATATAAGTAGAACCAGGATTGTTTTTGGGCTCCCCCTGGGTGTGGAAGTGGAGAGCTTCCAGGAGCTCCCTTTAGCTCACCTGTAATTCGAACCCTGCGTATAGCACAAGTTGGTCGCGTGAGTTGCCAGATACTAGCAGTTACCGGAACAGTCCTTTCAAAAAAAGACAGTTCCTTGATCTTGTTCCGGCAAGATCCAGCTCAAGTGAAGCCCTGCGTTTGTTACAAATCAGTAAATGTTTTTGTCCTTATGGGCTCCCGTAGAAGGAAACTAATATGGCGTCGCCCAGAGACTTAGTGTCATGACATAGAGAAACACTCTTAGACCCACTCCCATGTATTTTAGACCTGGTGTTTATGGTTATATGTTTACGAAGGCACCAATATTTTTCAACAACTGGGCATCATTTATTCATTTTCAACATTTTGATGGATATTTCCAGGTATACACTACACATTGTTCCAGACACAAATAAAGCTCCTGGTGCATTAACTCTTTGAAAGGGGGGTTTGAACATTATTCAGCTCTTTAAATATTGTATTTCTATCTGAAATATTAATTGTTTAAAGTAACTAATTATTCTTCAGTATAGCTTATGTAACTAATTTTGTGAAAATGCAAATGAAGCCCATTTTGTTCCACATGAACTCTGATATTTGGTTCAAGAGGTTTCAGTGAATCACTGAAATAGAGCTTGTACTCGATGCCTCTGCACAACAGCGTTTTTCAAATGTTTTAGTAGCATGATTGTGTTTTGCAGCAGAATTATGAAATCACAACAAGGAGTAGTTCCATTATGTATCTCCAACTTGTTCCAGTGATGACACCAACTTAAAAACAAAAACACAGAGAATGTAAACTCTGCCTTGCAGAAATTTAGTACCCGAGTAATGAAAGTTAGTCAAATTTCAACTCAAAGGGTAAAAAGCCATTAAATCTTTTTTGGCTGAGAGTTTACAACCTCTAGAACATCAGGTTTACGTTATGCGTTGTGGACGTAAATCACTGTTATACATGCGCAGTTGCGCACTAAACATAAACTCAGTCCAGCTAAAGCCCTTGGTTAGTAAGCTAATGGGTAAGATGCACTAGACCACATGCTGACAGATTCACACATCATTAAGGAGGCTAATTAAAAACATTCAGTACTTTTCTCTAAATTTCAATGACAGATAACCAGTCTGGAATGAATTAATGACATTATTACCATCTCCACTAGAGTAATGTGTTTTAATTTTAGGAAACGTGCAGATTCTTCCTGATGTAAGAAGTGAGTCTCCTCTTTGTTTTGTTAGTTTTGGCGTTGACATCATCATCGAGCGCAACATTCTGTGACTCTTAAAAAAAACTGTGAAAACGCTGAAAAACGCAGGCAGCGAAGGGCTTTTCTGATCAGGAAACGGCTGGCAGTGAATGGGTTATGAGTCACAGAACATTGCACTCTATGATTATGTCAACGCCAAAACTACCCAAACAAATAGTAGATTCACCTCTTACATCAAGAAGAATCCGCGCGTTTCAAGCGCTATCCGTTCTTTCATAATTCATTGTCAAATTGTGATCGGCAGAAGCTTTTTTGACAGCAGCGGCCCAAAACGATCTCCTAACACATGGATTTTCTGCTTCCTGATCACGTGACGTGTGACGTACACAGATGAAGGTCAGCTTTAGAGCTGTGATGTTTGTTCTCACGGTGCGTGGGCTCGTTCCGACTCCCACAGTAAAAAATGCAACTGACAACTTTAGCTGTCAATGACAGTGAACGGCTAAATTTAAAATGACGACTTTTGCTGCCAATGGCAGTTAATGAGTTAAATTCTGTCTCAAAGACTTAAGTTCACTTATTTTTTCAACACATTTGGAGTGGTCGATAGTATAAATGAATGCCCTGAGGTTATCTTTGTGGGGGGAAAAGCTTGGCGCTCCCGTTTCAGGAACTAGAAGTTAGCCAGAGCAGAGAGGAGCAGAACACATCAGCATGTCTTATTTCCTGATATTTGGACATCTCACCTCTGATTGGCTAACAGCATCACGACTCTACCACCAACTCTGCTCTGCAACGCTGATGTTATATGCGACTTATATATGAAACTCAAAACATTATTATATGGTACAAGCATTCATTTTTTCAGTAATTCAGTTTAGAATGAGAGACCATCTAAAGACTCAGGAACCCTTTGTAGGTGTTTTGATTCTTTAGCTGATTAGAGTGCGACACTTTGAGCCTAGGATATTGAGCCTTTTCACAATAATCTAATTGTCTGACACTTTGAATTCTGGGTTTTCATGAACTGTAAGCCAGAGCTATTCCATTCTGGGCCTCGAGGGCCGGTATCCAGCGCGTTTTAGTGGTTCCTATGGTCCTACACACTTGTTTTATTGGTTCAATCACATGTGCAGCAGCTCATCCGGCTCTACAGAAGCTTGTTAATCGCCTACTATTTGAAATCAGGCGTGTTGAAGCAGGGTTCAAACCAAAACGTGTTGTATACCGGCCCTAGAGGCCCAAAGTTGAATAGCCCTGCTGTAAACCATAATCATCACAATTATAACAAATAAAGACTTGAAATATCTGGATTTGCATGGAATTAGTCTATATTAGTTTCACCTTTAAAGTTGAATTACTGAAACAAATTTACTTTTGCACCCTATTCTATTTTCCAGCGTTTTCCCTGTATCGTGTCTAACAGGACACACTCCGCCAGCGACTTCTACTTCAGCCTCAGGGATTTCTCTTGGGATGTGCCCCTCCAAAAAAAACCTTTAAAGGAAGGTGATCCGCCTAATCAGATGCCAAAACCACCTCAGCTGACTCAGTTTGATGATGAGGAGTAGAAGCGGCTCTGAGTCGGAGCTCCCCCTTCATCTATGCAGCTCCTTTTGAAATAGCCTTTATTTTCATCTGCACCAAAATCGCTAATTTATATTTCAGACATGAAGCATTAGCTGTGTTTTAGTGAAGAGAAAGAACTCAACTTGACGTTTTTAAAATGTTTGCTAAACAAAACCATTAAAAGAATATTACAAGCACCACATGCAATAAATAAATGCAAAAAAACTTGCACTTTGACCCAAAAAAAAACGTTTTTCTTGACGTCATATTGAGAATGGAAAAGTTATACGTTGGTAGTTCATTTGTGTTGTTTATCAAATTCCATAATTTGGTTCTTTTTGGCACACAGTGTATTAAAGATTTCTTGTTTTTTTAAGCGTTGCTCTATGAAAGGTTAAGCCAAAACTTGTTAGCAAAAAAGGTAAAAACAAATCTGAAAAATGATTACATGATTTTTTTAATCAATTAAACACTACAATGTAGGTAATTTGCTGCTGTTGTTTTCACAATCTGCTATTATATTATATATTCTGAACAAATATCAATGTGTGTATTGTGCTGTCTCTCAGAGAGGAAACATACTTAGCCTACTTCACTTTTGTTATTATGAAAAAAAGATATGTACAATTTTTTTAATGGTGTTTTTAAATTGTTACAAGAGTTTGGTGCCACACCTGTTTTATTTTAAATAATTAGTGAGTGTTAAACTTTTTTTAATGTGTCCAAGCTACTGTGCTCCTAGCTACTTTTGAACAAAGTTAGACAATATTTGCAATTTTTCATCTCCAATAATTGTTAAGCCAGACCTAAAAAGGTAAAAATAATACAGTAGTGAACTAACGGTGAGCTACTGATCTGGAACCAGCTATTTTGCTGTAACTAGCTTTTAACGTCTAAACGTTCAACAGCCCGGGTTACTAACTTTTCGCAGAAAATTACTGAATTACTTAAAAAATAAACAATTAGAAACAGTCAAAGGGAAGCAGGGCAGACTTACTCTTCGGCGTTTGTCGTTTGAGTTATGCAGAGGCGACCGAGTGTGTCGGAGTCTCACCGCAGATTGAAGACTCCTCCGAATCCTCCTGGCCAGCTCGAGAAGGGTGACGTCACTTCAGGAACCCAACTTCTGATCTCAGATCAGCTGTCACGAGCCCATCCGTCACATCATCTGTGTGAAGAGAAACCCCCAAATCTACACGGTTTGTGACAACCAGTAGAGAACATTTTTATAAACATAGCGTTATTTCTAGGGAATATATTGGATTCGCACGTTGCTTTTTCATTCCCAAGCAGTAAAATGTGATTCCGGTGATGTGATGGTGCAGGAATAAGGACTAAATGTGAAAATGTTTAAATTTAAATTTAATCAAAAATCACAAAATTGAACACAAAAAAATCACAATTTGAGAAGAAAAAAACCCCACAAAGATGGTCAAAATGAAAGCAATGAAAGTATTTTGCCTTTTTATCTAATTCTGATGTAAACTTGTTATAATATTATTTGCTACACAATTCCTGCTTTTCTGCAAACAAATCGTTTCATTCATTTTTGGCTTAATTTAGGAGTGTATGACGAAATTCTACCTTTCTGAGAGAAATACAGTATGTTGTGCCTTAGTGCCAAAGATCAGATTGAACTAACCTAATCCAGTATTTTATTTAAAAACTAAGACCTGACCATATCATTTAAAACATGTTTATTTTCTTGCTCTGTGTCCTTTACACTCATAGATTTTTCTCTTTTTTTAATTCATCATCACGGCATTTACATGAGCCACTATGTGTGCACGGCTGCATAACAGCAATCATTTGGTGGATTTGTCTTTTAAGCAGCAACATGTCTGGGTTTTTAATTTTAGAGAATGAATGGAAAAGATCTGAGCAGTGTCAGGTAAAACATAAATGTCATTTGTGTGTTGCTGCTGCAGCATGTTGGGGGAAGGGCAAACGCAGGTCCTTCTAAAGAGATTTTTTTTCTCAAAAGCATCATGATTAGAAAGTATAATGAGACCAGAGACACAGAAAAGATCATCTCTATAGAAACAGTAGAATATATATATATATATATATATATATATATATATATATATATATATATATATATATATATATATAATGGAATAGTGAATATTTCATAATAGGATTGTTAATTCTGTGGCTTTATACAGATGTTAATGACATAAGAACACACAGCTCTGATCATTTTTAACACAAAAACCATGCATTTTTTTAAATGATTGTCAGTTTTACATTATTTGTGCACACACACATAGGGTGTCTGCAACATTTAACTCTCAGTATGATGAAACAAAAATCCTTTTAACACACTTTAGATGCAAAAATCCTGCAGATAATAAAACACATGTGCTAGTTTTAGGTATTAGGCTTCTGTCAAGCAACACTGCATTCATTTTTGTCATGCATATTAGAGCTTTACACATGCACGCAGTAACTGAGATAGTGAAACAGTAAATAAATATGCAGATCTAATCCTGCCTTCATGTATGTCTCTTACCATTCATGTCACTGTCCACTCAGAATCATCCTCCTCCAGTTCACAACCATTCATGGCAGATGTGTGAATAAAACTCATTCACTGTTATTTGAGTGAAAATAGGCCATCGCTGATTTTTTTTTTTTTTTTTGATGAGACAACAACCCCCTCTGTGACAATAAAATACAGATGTCCTAGTTTACAGAAAAAATGTTTTAAAGCATGTGACGGAATGAAAGCCACACGCTTCAAAAACAGATTTTAAATTTGTGTGAAATAATTTTTTTATACCTGTTGGTTTAACTTAAAAAACAGACTGGATACCAAACTAAATCACAGCTTTGTTTTTGACGTCACAGCTGTAACACTATGATGGCAAAAGCACCTAAATGAGGTCAGAAATGAAGACGTCCAATAGAATTTTGTTCAATTTGGTGGGGAAAAGTTGCATTTATGGTTTTCCTAATAGAAAAATCACATTTTATTGAAAATGCTCTACATACGGCTACCAATACCATTATAACTTCTTAGAAATAAGCTAAAATAATGACTTGCATAAAAAAAACATTTTGTTTTTTTACAACCACAGAGGCTTTCAGTGCTGAAATAAATCACAAGACACTTTTAATTCTTCCCTCAATTCAAGCTGGCTTTTCACTAAAATATGTATTTCTCACCTCTAGATCTTACCTTTTCACAAGAACATTTAGGAATAAACTTACACTCAAACAACCAATAAAAAAATCATTATTATTGCTAAATAAACCTTTCTGCCATATTAAAGAAACTCAACATAAATGTGTTTCATTGTCCCATCTGGCGGCCAAACCTTGAAATTACATCATTAATATGCTTATAGTGCTAATTAATATCAGTGTGCAGCCAATTTAAATAATTGATCATAAATGCATCAAAAAGAAGAATTTTTAGCCCAGATTTGAAAATGTTTTGTTGGATGATTTCTCAGATGGCTAAAATTAGATGTGCATAAAAGCAAACTTAAAAAAAAAAGAATTAAATATATCCTTCTGTCAGTTCTGTTTCACATTAGCTCAAGTCATCAAAGCTGCCAGTCCCTGATGAGAACGATATTTCAGATCAAAGCGACTCAAGAAATCCTTTAAGAGCTAATTAGCCTCCAGTCACGTGTGCTGCCCAATTTATCCTTTTTGTCCTAATTTTGAGTCATTTATTTATAAAGCTTCAGCTTTCCTGTGCAGCTAAAATCAGGATAATTTAATGCAATCATAGTGCTGCAAAAATATATGTATATGATGTAATTCCTCAGCAGCTCTTTGTAGATCTAAGGGAGCAGGGTGGGTTGTCCAGTAATCGGAAAGTTGCGGGTTCAATCCCGGCTGGTGGTGGTCGGAGGGCCCGGTGGCACCATCTCCCCCCTCAGGGCAGCCATGGCTACATCCTAGCTCACCCCCACCGGCAGGTCAATGTTTGTGAATGACTGTGATGTAAAGCACCTTGGAGGGTTGTCGAACCCTAAGAATGCGCTATACAAATACAGGCTTTTACCATTTAAGTGGGTAAAAACCAAACACACAAATCAGGCAATGATAATTGCACAATTTAAACCTCGTTTTTTTTTTTGGTCTGAGGCTTTTGCAGTTTAATTAATTATTAGAAAATAATGAACTCAGAAATGTTCACAAATTCTCCCAAACAAAGACTTCAGTTATTAAAATGAAACACAAAGGAGCTAATTCAGTTTGATTTATTTACAACGTTCCAAAAAATAAATCACAATTTTAATTCACAGGGCAGCAAGAAGACAAGTTTGTAATAAAAATTATAATTTTGAACATTTGGCATACAAAAATGCTTAATTTTGAGAAGGTGTTTTTAATACAACCCTCAAAAATCAACCGTTCTGAAACGTTTCCAGGATCTACGATCACAACTTTGTCCCAATGAAAGGTTTGGAAGAGACGAAGCATTCACCCCAAACGACCCAAAGAGCTCTGCTATTTTCCTTTGCCAACACATTTCTTATGAAAGAAAATAAACGGGAACAAAGTCCAGATTTCACTGACTGGGCATCCTGATCACACACCCACCACCAAACCTCCATTTAAACCCAAAATCTGAATATTCCATCTTAAATATTTTGTCCAAACCCCTGAGAGGAGGAACGATGATCAAAATTTTTAACTGGTGGCAAAGCGTGCAGACAAATTTTAAACTACTGTTTCAGGGCAAGCTTTCTTTTTTGTTTCATTTTACTTTGAATAATAAAAGCTAATCAAACTCATCATATAAATGCAGAAAACAGCCACTCAGTCGTGCTGTAGCTGGGTTAGCGTTTAGCTATATACGTACATGTGCAATCTATATCTTGGATTGATTCATACATCTAGAAATACGGTTTAGAAAAAGTGGCTTCTTTGATTTTAAACAAGAAAATGAGGTTTGATTGTGTGCTCCTATAGATTCAGGAAATCGCATTTAACTTCCATTTCATTTTTATCTCTGCTGCATAAAATTACTTTCTAATGTAGTGCTGAAACTCTAAATCTGTGCAATAGTCCTGTAACAGATGCTTTACATTGGCTCAGAACACATTCACCCTTTAAAAAAAAGTAATTATAAGTCAGAGTTTTTACCTTTAATTTTTTAGGCTTTCTAGGTGTTCATGGTGGTATATTTAAAGATCTATGTAGAAAATACACCAATATGTTTGATCATTACAAATTACTTAAAAGCAGTAATGAAATGTGCATTAGTGAAGGTGTTAGTTTGGCATCCTTTCCCCCCATCAATCAAAAACATCATTGGTCAATAACGAAGCACAAAAATGGGCTCGTTTGTGCAGAAAACACCAAGCCAGTGAGAAAGGTCTGATGATTTGAGTTGTGGGAAACATTAGAGAGTTCTCCTATGGTACGCTGTTGGTCTCCTCAGCCTCCACCAGGCAGGACTGGTCGTTTTCCAGGACTCGGAACGGCGGGTGGTACTCGAACGCTGTGAAGACGCTGGAGCCAAGATTGTGCCTTTGGTGCAAAAACCAAATAACCGCAGAGACTCCCATGATGGCCACCACGCTGAGAATGACTAAGGCGGAGATCAGCGCGTTGGGTTCTGTGGAGAACAAGAAACAATGCAAGGAAGGTCCTAGCGCTAAATCACAGAGGAGGGGAATGCTCAAACAAACAATAGCAAATAGCTCAAAGGTGGACTTACGCTGCCTGGGTGTCTCCGCTTCTGAAAAACAAAACAGAATGCATCCAAGACCAAACACTCAAACCCAAACAATTACTTTGTGTAGCCTAAACAAGAGGACTCACTCTGAGCCGCCTCACAGACCACTCCGTTTTCCACGTCATCCGAGCAGCTGACGTTTTCCCACTTTCCCGTGTTGCCTTGCAGAGCCACACACGTTTCTGTTGGCAGCAGGTCCGACAGACCTGTGCTCTCCCAGTTAGTGTAGGTCACTGGGTTCTCATTTAACCACCTCATGGTATCACCTGAGCAGAAATGAAAGAAAACATGTCTCACTGTGCCTGATAGCAGCATGTCCAACTAAACACTGTAAAACAAACAATTTTCCACCTTCCCATCAGGTCCAATATCCAATATGACAGATTACCACTTAGAATCACGACCAGTGTGGTTTCACAAACCTCTGCTTACACAATACTTACTGTTTGTGTCATAATACATTCCCATCCACATGACAACAACACCTTTCCACACCTCACGACTATATTTAATGACAAAGTCATTGTCTTCTGCACTCTGGATAGTCAAAAGCTCTAGAAAGATGATAAAAAGAAGCACAAAGATGAGAATGTGGGTTTTTGGTTTTAGGGACAAAGCATTTTAAACGGCTGGCGTACCAAATCCTCGGCAGAGGGACCTTGCTCTCTCAAAAGTGTAGCTCTTGACATAGTCTTCTTCTCCATGGACAAAGTGGTAACACTTGTCTCCGTTGGGCACCCATGTTCGTCCATCTGCAGGGCAATCTGAAAGAAAAATATTTAAAGGTGCAGTAGAGTACTCCTTGAACTGTCACCTTATCGTGGTGGAGGAGTTTGAGTGCCCTAATGATCCTAGGAGCTATGTTGTCTGGGGCATTTTGTGCCCCTGGTAGGGTCTCCCATGACAAATTGGTCTTAGGTGAAGGGTGAGACAAAGAATGGTTCGGAGGATCTTTCATGATATACAATCAAAGAGTCGGAATACCCGGCCCGGAGGGTTACCGGGGTCCCACCCTGGAGCCAGGCCTGGGGTTGGGGCCCATGAGCGAGTGCCTGGTGGCCGGGCTTTCGCCCATGGGGCCCGGCCAGGCCCAGCCCGAACCGGATACATGGGCTCATCCAACTGTGGACCCACCACCCGCAGGAGGAACATGAAGGGTCCAGTGCAGTGTGGATTGGGTGGCAGACCTAGGCGGGAGCCTTGGCGGTCCGATCCCCGGACAACGAAACTGGTTTTGGGACATGGAACGTCACCTCGCTGGCGGGGAAGGAGCAGGAGCGGTACCGGCTAGATATAGTTGGACTCATCTCGACACATAGAATTGGCTCTGGAACCCAAGTCCTTGAGACGGGTTGGACACTCTCCTTTGCTGGAGTTGCTCTGGGTCAGAGGCGGAGGGCTGGGGTTGGCTTTTTGTTAGCCCCAAGACTCTCTGCCTGTGTGTTGTGGTTTACCCAGGGGGACGAGAGGGTAGCTTCCCTGCGCCTTCGGGTCGGGGAACGGGTCCTGACTGTTGTTTGTGCTTATGGGCCAAATATCAGTTCAGAGTACCCACCCTTTTTGGAGTCCCTGGGATGAGTGCTAGATAGTGCTACATCAGGGGACTCCATTGTCCTGCTGGGGGACTTCATTGCTCACGTGGGCAATGACAGCATGACCTGGAAGGGTGTGATTGGGAGGAACGGCCCGCCTGATCTGAACTCGAGTGGTGTTTCGTTATTGGACTTCTGTGCAAGCCGCAGTTTGGCCATAACGAACACCATGTTCGAACATTAGGATGCCCATCGGTACACTTGGTACCAGGGCAGCCTAGGTCGCAGGTCCATGATAGACTTTGTAGTCGTATCATCTGACCTGCGGCTGTATGTTTTGGACACCCGAGTGAAGAGAGGAGCGGAGCTGTCAACTGATCACCACCTGGTGGTGAGTTGGATCAGACGGCAGGGGAAGATGCCACGTAGACCTGGCAGACCCAAACGCATAGTGAGGGTCTGCTGGGAGCACCTGGCAGAAGAACCTGTCAAGACGGTCTTCAACTCCCACCTCTGGCAGAGCTTTGGCCACGTCCCAAGAGCAGTGGGGGACATTGACTCCGAGTGGGCCTTGTTCCACTCTGCAATTGTTGAGGTGGCTGTTGCTAGCTGTGGTTGCAAGGTGGCCGGTGCCAGTCGTGGTGGCAACCCCCGTACCCGCTGGTGGACACCAGAGGTTCGGGGAGCTGTCAGGCTGAAGAAGGAGGCCTACAGGGCGTGGCTGGTCTGTGGGTCTCTGGAGGCAGCAGACAGGTAATGGATAGCCAAGCGGGGTGCAGCAGTGGCAATTGCCGAGGCAAAATCTTGGGCGAAGGAGGAGTTTGGTGAGGCCATGGAGAAAGACTATCAATCAGCTCCAAAGAGGTTCTGGCAAACTGTCCGGCGACTCAGGAGAGGAAGGCAGCAACTCGCTCACACTGTTTACAGAGGGGATGGGGAACTGCTGACGTCAACTGGGGCTATAGTCGGACGGTGGAAGGAATACTTTGAGGAGCTCCTCAATCCCACCTACGCGCATTCCGAGGAGGAACCAGAGCTGGGAGACCTGGGGATGGACTGTCCAATCTCGGGGGCAGAAGTTGCTGAGGTAGTCAAACAATTACACAGCGGCGGAGCCCCGGGGGCGGATGAGATTCATCCTGGGTATCTCAAAGCTATGGATATTGTAGGGCTGTCGTGGTTGACACGTCTCTGCAACATTGGGTGGTTATCGGGGGCAGTTCCTGTGGAGTGGCAGACCGGGGTGGTGGTCCCCATCTTTAAGAAGGGTGACCTGAGGGTGTGTTCCAACTATAGGGGGATCACACTACTCAGCCTCCCTGGAAAGGTCTACTCCAAGGTACTGGAGAGGAGGGTCCGATCGATCGTTGAATCTCAGACTGAGGAAGAGCAATGTGGTTTTCGTCCTGGCAGTGGAACTGTGGACCAGCTCTATACCCTTGCAAGGGTGATGGAGGGGGCATGGGAGTTTGTCCAACCAATCCACATGTGTTTTGTGGATCTGGAGAAGGCTTATGACCGTGTCCCCAGGGGCACCCTGTGGGGGACGCTCCAGGAGTATGGGGTGGGTGGCTTTCTGTTAAGGGCCATTCAGTCCCTTTACCAGAGGAGCGTGAGTTTGGTCCGCACAGTCGGTAGTAAGTCGGACCTGTTCCCGGTGAGGGTTGGACTCCACCAGGGCTTCCCTTTGTCACCGGTTCTGTTCATTACCTTTGTGGACAGAATTTCTAGGAGCAGCCATGGTGTGGAGTGTGTCGAGTATGGTGGCAGGAGAATCTCGTCTCTGCTTTTTGCGGATGATGTGGTCCTCCTAGCTTCATCCAGCTCTGACCTTCAGCTCTTGCTGGGTAGGTTCGCGGACAAGTGTGAAGCAGCTGGGATGAGGATCAGCACCTCCAAATCTGAGACCATGGTTCTCGACCGGAAAAGGGTGGCTTGCCAACTCCGGGTCGGGAGAGGTCCTACCACAAGAAGGAGTTTAAGTATCTCGGGGTCTTGTTCACGAGTGAGAGTAGGAGGGATCGGGAGATCGACAGGTGGATAGGTTCGGCATCTGCAGTGATGCGGACGCTGAGCCGATCTGTCGTGGTGGAGAGGGAGCTGAGCCAGAAAGCCAGGCTCTCGATTTACCGGTCGATCTACGTCCCAATCCTCACCTATGGTCATGAGCTTTGGGTAATGACTGAAAGAACGAGATCGCGGATACAAGCGGCCAAAATGAGTTTCCTCCGTAGGGTGGCCGGGCTCAGCCTTAGAGATAGGGTGAGGAGCTCGGACATTCGGGAGGGACTCGGAGTAGAACCGCTGCTCCTCCAGATCGAAAGGAGTCAGTTGAGGTGATTTGGGCATCTGGTCAGGATGCCTCCTGGACGCCTTCCTGGGGAGGTGTTTCGGGCATGTCCTGCCGGCAGAAGGCCCCCGGGTCGACCCAGGACACGTTGGAGAGGTTACATCTCCAATCTGGTCTGGGAACGCCTTGGGGTCCTTGGAAGAGCTGGTGGAGGTGGCCGGGGAGGGGACGGTCGGGAACTCCCTAATTGGGATGCTGCCCCTGCAACCCGGATAAGCGGAGGAAAACGACGACGAGTAGAGAATGTTTTTCTGGAGCATTTTTTAATCATTTTACATGAAATGTTCTTTACATAGCAAAGGCACACAAACATTAATATTTATATCAAGAAAACCAATCATTTCTGTAATGTGAAATAATGGAAAAACCTCATCCAATCATTGTGTCCCACTCTTAATGATTGGATCCTGATCCTTCCTCAAACTTCCCTCTCTTCGCAATCCCCTCAAAGTGCACGAATCATGTGTTTTTGGCTTGGAGCAGCTGAACAGGAAGCAAAGCCTGAGCCGGGTTAACTAGTGTTCCGTTTATGGTTTTGTTAAAGATTTTAGAAATTGTTTTATTGATCATGCATTATGACATTAAAATCTTTCAGCTTTGTTTTATTGATCATGCATTATGACATTAAGATCTTTCAGCTCACGTCTCTACCATGAGAACAGCGTGCCAAAGCACTGTCTGACTCCATGATTAAAACACTCACATCTTGACTCCCCAGAGAAACTAGAAGTTTCTGTTCCTGAAAACCACTGATAAGAGGTACTACCTAAAGTTTCACCTTATGTGTTCTTCTTTTCCATTTTAATGACTGTGTAATCACTTCTAATAAAAGACCTAGCTGAGCCAAGTGGATTTCAGTCTAAGTTGGGACGTGAAGACACACACACATGCCCCATCTCACACTCCGCTTTGCAAAGTTGCTCTAAAAGACAACTGTCCTTCTCCAGTTTGTGTTTCTTTGATATTGGTGGCAGAATTAACCCATCAGGTATGTTCATTTAATTTTTTGTAGTTGTTTTACATGCTCTGTTTCTGTTCTTGTTCCCATTATGTGACGGACCTGTCGTCTGTGAACACAGTCTGTCTTCCGTCGGCTGGCAGAGCCGTGCGTCTAACATATGCCTGTGTGTGAGGCCATTTGAGAGGAGAAAGCGAAGCTGCTTGTCTAAAGGGTCGACGCTGTTGGAGATTCACCTCGGAGCTAATCGAGCGGTGATCGAACAAAAACAAATGTCCAGATTAGGGCTGGACGATAATTGAATAGTTCAATATATCCATCAATAGACATGTGGAGCAATAGGAAAAAAAATTGGTCGATAAAACTTTGATAAAAAAAAATTTCCATTATAATTATTTTTCATTTTTATGTAACAGGTAGCAGCAGACTAGACTCACTACTTATTCCTAACCAATCAAAACCACAGACTCGGGCAAACTACTTCACCAGACCCTCCCCTTCTCAAGCTAAAACAGAGCACGAGACAGCAAGATGTCTCAGCAAGGAGAGACGGAGAAAAACAAACAAGCAAACAAAAAAAAAGGCTAAGGCTGCACCTAAAATATATTTTCTACAATAAAAAGTGTTTTTCAATAATTATCTATATCGATCAATATAAAAAATTGTTGGACATACTTTTATGTCTATACTGTCGACTAGTCCAGATCCACTCGTCACACTCCAAGCCTCAGCATGTTGAGGTTATTTATAAGAAAAGAAAGTGCAGTAGGACGAGTTTGTGCAGTTGACATAAATAAATGATCTTGTTGCATGAATCTAAAGTCAAAAACAAGCCTGCGTGTCTAACCATTGAAGCCTTACTCAGATGTGGTCATGCAACAGAACAAAGATCTTGAGTACATCAGCAAAAACTATGAGAAAGTC